GGTAAAATGTACTAACGTATACATATAAAATAAAGAAACAGTGCAGTGTGTTAAGTGCTATTATATAGAAATTCAGAGGAATATAGCTGTGAGAAAGAAAAGAAAGCCCAAGGATTTTTAACACCCCAACTACCATGAATAAAAAACAATAGAAAATGTACCCAGAAAGATAGAGACCTGACTATTAAATGAGCCATAAGCTTCAATAGTTTCAAGTATTTTATTATTCCAATTTTTAGAAATGAAATAAAACTATCAAGAAGTGGTAGGTGACATTGTGATCACTGATGACAGCCTAGTGAGAACTATTTGGGTGAGTCAATGAAGGTGAAAGTCAGATAGGAGATGTTCACCTGGAGATAAGAGTAAGAAAATGAAGCAAGGAAACAGTTCCTAAGATTTTTGACTGTGAAAGGGGTGACTGGGTGCAAATGCAAAGAGAGCAAAAACTAGTGTTCATTCATGGTTTGGGTTTTCTAAAATTGATTTGAAAAGACAGAAGGACAAGGAGATTTAAGGTTTGGAAAGAGTGTTATTAAAATAATAGATCATAAAATCTAAGCAGCATAAGAAGTGAAGAAATGAGAAAGCTAAGTGAAATTAGAGGGGTAAATGGATGGGGATCCCAATGAAACTGAAGGATAGCTGCAGTGGGAGTAGCTGAATAATGAAGCTTTATCTTCCATCATATGCTGGTTGGCTACCAAGAGACCCTTAAAATCTGAACAATGTGGGTGCTAGGAAGGCAACGTGAGTAGGCAAATACAAATTGGTGGGATATCAAGCATAATAGTAGAAGACAAAGATGAATGATAGATGGATGCTATTGAGCCAGAATTAAGTAGAAGAGACAGAAGAGAACTTCAAAAGTAATGAGAACATTTCTGCTTCTGGATAGGATGTAGTAATGCATCTCTCTCACTGTAACAACGCAAGCTAAAAAGCTTTTGCATAGTAAAAGAAACCAACAAAATGAAAAGAGAACCCACTGTATGGGAGAACATATTCGCCAATGATACATCTGGTGAGGGATTAATTTCCAAATATATAAAGAACTTATACAATTCAACACCAGGAATACAAACAATCCTATTAAAAATGGGAAGGACATGAATAGACACTTCTCCAAAGAGGACATACTGATGGTCAATAGACATATGAAAAGATGCTCAACATCACTAATCATCAGAGAGATGTAAATAAAACCTACAATGAGGTATCACTTCACACCTGCCAGAATGGCTGCCATCAATAAATCAACAAACAACAAGTGCTGGCTACAATGTGGAGAAAAGCAAACTCTTGTGTCCTGCTGTTGGGAATGCAGACTGGTGTAGCCACTGTGGAAAACACTATGGAGTTTCCTCAGAAAATTAAAAATGGAACTGCCTTTTGACTCAGTGATCCCACTTCTGGGAATATACCCTAAGAATCCTGAAAAACCAATCAGAAAGAATATATGCACCCCTATGTTTATAGCAGCATTATTTATAACAGCCAAGATCTGGAAACAGCCCAAGTGCCCATCAGTAAATAAGTGGATAAAACAGCTGTGGGACATTCACACCGTGGAATACTATGCAGCTATAAAAAAGAAGAATGTCTTACTGTTTGTGACACTATGGATGGACCTGGGGAGTATTATGCTAAGTGAAATAAGCCATTCAGAGAAAGGCAAATACCATATGATCTCACTAATATGTGGAATCTAATGAACAAAATAAACTGATGAACAAAATGGAACCAAAAACATGAATACATGAAATAGACTGGCCGGTACCCAAGGGGAGAGGTGTTGGGTGTGACTGGATAAAGAAGGTGAAGGAAATAGCTAAAGAACATATATGCATACACATGAACACAGACAATAATTTGGTAAAGGCCTAGGAAGGAGGAGGCAGGGGAGGGTGGAGGTGGTCAAAGGGGAATGGAGGAGACTCCTGCAATAATGTCAACATTAAAAATTTTTTTAATTAAAAAGAAAGTAGATGGATTTTAAAATATCATAGAAGAGCTGTGAAAAAGCAAATTAAAAAGACTGATAATACCAAATGTTGGTAAGTACATGGAATTCTTATTCATACCTATTGGGAATGTAAGCTGGTAAAACCACTTTAGAAAGCTGTTCAGCAGTAACTGTGAAAGGTATATGTATGTCTACCTTATGACCCGTCAGTTTTATTCCTTGGTACATACCCAAGGAACTGCATGTTGCGTGACTCCATTTACATGAAGTTCAAGAACAGAAAAAACTAAGTGATGATTTTAAAAGTCAGAATAATGGTTATCTTTCTGGGAAGGTTTGGGGAAAAAGTGTGAGGAAATATTCAGGGGTGATAGAAATGCTCTGTATCTTGGTCAGAGAGAGCATATTCTGAAAGATCAAATGGAAGAAATATCTGTCAGTATACAAAAAACAGAGTAGATTTTGCTTTTAAACCAGATCTGAGAATCTTAATGAGATTAATTTACCATACTAATGTTTATTTTGATAATTGATATATCTGATTTCATTCCTATCATTTTACATTAAGTTTTCGGTGTTTCTTTGCTATGTTTTTATGCCGTATTTTTTTGTATTTTCTTTTCTGAATTGAAATCTTTGTTAACCTTTCTTCTTGGTAACTTGGAACTTCTACTAATCTGTAGCCTTTAAACACACATATCCAAACTTGTATTTTTCTGTCAATGTAAAAAATAAGTAATAACTAGACAACAGTCCTGTTCTCTTTACCAAAGGTTTCCTTTACTCTGAGTTTTGTTGAAAAAACTAGAATCTAGCTTTTTTTTCTTATAATGTGTCATTACTATTTCAGGAATCCTTTCTTAAAAATTACATCATAATTCACAACATCATTACCATTGATTTTAACTACATATTTTGTTGTATCAATCCACCACTATTGTTTTTATATCTTGTCCTCCCCGGTTCTGGCTGGAGTATTTGATGTACTTGTTGAGTCTGTGAATGCCTGGACATGCCTTTTTCATGTATGAATGATCACTTAGCCAGGTATAAATTTCTAGTGCTATAATTCTTTTCCTTCTGAACATTGTTAATTATCCTCAATAGAAAGTTGGGTGACGGGAGGGTCTAGGTCATTGGCTGAGACATTATCTTTCCTTACTATTCAATAATATTTCTGCTTTCTATTACATATTTTCTATTTAGGCAAGCTCCTATTTTATCGCCATAACTACAACATTCATTCCTATTTTAAACCTTCCTAGTATTGTTTTCCCCTTTTAAATATCCTTCCTCCTTATCTCAACTGACTCCTTTTTGTCCATTCTTCTAATCATATCTAAAATTCTACCACCTCCATGGACCTTTCTCCATTTACCTCAACTCATAATAAATTCCCCTTTGTCATCACAGCATTTATCATCTTTGCCATATGTTTTTGTACTTCCTAGAGTCCTAGATTTTTATATCTGGATGACATCTAAGAGGTATAATCCAACTCCCTAATTTTTCAGGTTAAAAAAGAGCTGGTCAGTAAGCCACATATATAACCCAGATGACCCCAAGCTTTCTGGCATTCTGGGGCTACCCTTTAATACCTAAATAAAATAGCCCTCAAGCCTCAATCCCCAAATACTTTTGGGAGCCCTCCCCTGGGAAGCCTGTGGGTTTGCAGGTCCTCATGGCCTCCCCATCAGTGTTAGGGTTCACATCCTAGCCACTGCTCTGGGCTCTGCTAGGGGCCATTTTTTCTCACTGGTCATGTCACTGGTAACAAGTGTCACAAGCCTGGAGTATATGACAGACTTTTACTGAAGATTTTTTCTCTCCAAAAAGAGCCTGAGAGGCTTGAGAACGAACATGACTTTTGTAACTCCTAACAGCTCCTAGCACAAAGCTAGACATTCACAAACCGCAGCTTTAATTTGGATGTAGGATGCTGCTGCCCTACATGCAACAGCCGTTTCCCCTCCGAGGGGCATTTTATCCCAGCCCCGTCCTTTCAGGTCATTGCCCGCCGCCGTCTCCTCTGCCTTCTTCCCTCTTTCAACCTCACACAATTATGTTTCCTTCTTTAGAGTGATCGATCTCTCCAGCCTCTACCTGTAACTGAATATCAATGTTTTTGTTATATCCCAAAACACAATAAGCTATCCAGTAGGAACCAGGTAAAGCTTTGAAATTCAGTTTGTTTGTTTTTTTCTTTAACATAAGCAGAATTCCCTCCTCCACCAGTCTCTGGAAATGGAAGAGAAATCATGTAATTTATTTTCTCCTCTACAAAGAAAGCCCCAAGTGTCATGAGTTAGTTATTGTTCATTTCAGCTGCACACGAATTCTCAAGATTCTCAAGATCACAGCAGGATACAGTTCTTCTTAGAGACCTATACTTTTTCTTTATACTATATTACAATTTCCTCTGTTCCAGTTTTTGCCCCATTTTACATTTTTTATATGTTGTTTTCTATTGCTCTTAAATTGTTTTACATATGTAATAGCTACTTTCCCAGAAAGAGTGCCGTAATCCTAAAGCAGGTACTGATTATTGAGACTGTCAGGGCATCCAGTATATACAGGTACTCAAGGATTCTTATATATTGATTAAGAATTATACTAACATATGCTATTTAATGAGCATCTATTATGTGCCAATATGCTCAGTGCTTTACATAGATGATCTGTAATTCTCTCCTTAATTATTTTACCCATTACACAGAAGAGGAAACTGAAATTCTAGTGGCCTAAGTAACTTGCTTGATTCCACGTAGCTAAATTGAGAGACTAAGTCTGCCAGATTCCAGAATGCTTTGCTCTTCCTGCCATACCCCAGGCATCCCAAAGCTGTCAATGTTGACAGCTGTCTTTGTATCAGTGATGGGTTTTTTTAAATAACAACTTTACAATGCACTTACTGGGCAGTGACCATATCCTTTCTGTAAGATTATGTTCTTTTTAAGTCTCAAGACACCATTCATTTTTTATGTGCTTTTTAAAGCTCAAATGTGAACCTGATATCTTTCTTTCTGCATTTCAGTTTGATCCATTAACAATTGAAAGCAAAAAAGTAGCAACTGTGGTGTTAATGCTTAATTCTCCAGAAGAAGAAATTTTGGCCAAAGCATGTGAAGCCATTTATAAATTTGCTTTAAAAGGTTTGGATTTTTTCAGTTTTTCTTTCTATTTCATTAGTTGCTTAAATATTTACTACATAATGGGCACTTTTCTCCCCAGTCTTTAACTTACTTCCTGTCAGATGAATTCTTTCAGACAACCAGAATGTCATTTAATGCATTACCTGAAACTAATGTATCTCCCTAAGTGCCTAACTTAATCTTAAGGAGTAATTTTGTCACTGGGTAGAAGAGTCATTTTGAAGGCTTTATTGTTTAAAAAATTATAAATGACACAGAAGCTGAAAGAGCTCCTAGTGGTCAAAGCCAAAACAATTTGAGCAACAAAATAAAGTAGTATTGGATTATAACCCAAAGTAGAACATAAATATCCATGAGTCTATACCCCAATAAATAAATGATTGAGTGAGTAAATAAATGGTAGAGAAAAGACAAATCTCCCATTCAGAAGAATTCTGAATAACTTAGGTAGATACTCTGCCCTCAAGGAGACAAAATATAACTTTGTTAGGTATGGGCTGTGCATAGTGACTCTTTCAAAAGAGTACAGTATGAAAATAGGGGAAAAGAATAAGTTTATAGTGGAGAAACTTGACAAACCTACTTCAGCCATGTGATCAAAATCAACATCAATAGTGATAAGTCATGTCGATAACCTTGTAAGTCAAGTCCCCTTGACACAATGTAATGAAAATGGCACTTCTGTGTTATTTTCCCCCAAAACCTGTATCCTCAGTCTAATCATTTTTAAAAATCGAATTTCCATTCAGGGACATTCTACAAATATGTAGCCAGTACTCCTCAACATGCCACAGCTATCAAAATAAGGAAAGCCTGGGAAACTCTCACAGCCAAGAGGAGCTAAGGATACATGATAACAAAAATGCCATGGAGGATCCTAGATAGGATCCTGGAACAAAGAACATTAGGCTAAAACTAAGAAATTCTGAATAAACTATTGATTTTAATTAATAATAACATATCAATAATGGCTTATTAATTGTATCAAGTGTACCTGTTAGTGTAAAATATTAATAACAGGGGAAACTTGGTGTGGGATATGTGGGAATTCCCTGTATTATCTTTGCAATTTTTTCTATGAAACTAAAACTGTTGTAAAAAATAAAGTTTATTAAAACATTGTAAATGTTATAAATCTAATATTGAGAGATTTATTCATAAAGGATTTACAAACATAAAAGATGGTTGTTATATTTTAGTTTATTCCAAATGGTGATAAAATTAGATTTTTATTATAGTGTATAACATTTTAATTGTGACTATTTGAAGTATGTAGCATAATTTTTAAAATATTTTTTTTATTGATTTGAGAGAGAGGAAGGGAAAAGGAGAGAGAGATAGAAATATCAATGATGAGAGAGAGTCACTGATCGGCTGCATCCTGCACGCCCTCACCTGGAATCGATCCGAGATCTCCTGGATCATAGGTTGATGCTTAACTGCTGAGTCATGCTGGCCAGACATGTAGTGTATTTTTAACAAGATCTTTTAAACAGGAGCAATTTGATTGTAAGGAAATGGTGATTAAACATGGGTTGGGGACTTGTATGACAGAACAACAAATATTCAGTGAGCAAATGGTGAAATATTCATCTTGCTATGTCACTCTTGTCATAGAGTGGAGGGGAATCTAGACAAAAACCAGAGTGGTTCTGGAAGGTATAGTTTATGAGTAGATTATGTAGAATTCTGAGTCAATTTCAGGAGGCTTTGGATCATGCATCTGTGGTAGCATATCCCATTCAGCCTTATAGAGTCATTATAAGTCATCTGGCTATCATATGTACCTAAATATATATCATCCTTTATATGACATGAGGTAAATAAATAGGTAAGCATGCATTTTATGTTTAATCAATACAGAAGTTATTGTAAGTTTGGTGTTTCATACTAGCAGTGTTTTCTGAAATAGTATTTTAAGATAAATGATGGGACTTTGCCTTCTGTCTAAGATGCAGTAAGGGGCCAGATTTACCCTCCAAGTGAAACAACTAATAAAATAGACAAAATATATGAAGTAGCAGTTGGCAAAACACTGACTATTAGGCAATGAAGGAGAGTGACCATTGAGAGGCAGGAAAAAAGGAAAGAAGCCCTATAACTGCCTGAGTTTATTGATTGCAAAGAGTATCCAGGCCATAGCACAAGAAGGGGTAGCCTATGTAGAACATATTGGAGTCTCTGAATTGAGAAGACAGACCTGAGAGTGCAGGGGCACAAAGGTAGCAAGAGTTTTCAGGAGAGAGTAACTGAGAGAGAATACAGGAGATCTGTAAAACATGCCACTCAAGTGTTTGGCTGAGTACTGATCAGCGTGTGCATGTGAGGGAACTACTTGAAGTCAGACGAAGAGCCCAACAGGATTAGTGACAACAGTGCCCGGTGCTCACGCAGGGCCAGAAGTAGTGCTTGTTCTCATAGCCAGACCCCAAAAAACTCAAGATGCATGACCATTGTGCAGAATACACAGGGGTCTTGCCCAGTAGTTAGAAACTATTAGCCCTAAACTGAACACTCTTCTGAAAGATAAAAGGATCAAATTGTTCCCAGATAACTGTGTCCCAGAACAGATTTCTAGATTACAAAAATATCCTTTACTCAACTAGGTAAAATACACAATGTCTGGCATCCAATAAAAAATTACCAGGCATGAAAAAGAAGCAGGAAAATATACCCCATAATGAGGATATAAATCAATCAACCAATCAAAAATAAGCCAATATATGTGTGACTGGAGTCTCTGAAAAAGGCAAAGGACAGAAAAGTATTTGAAGAAATGATGGTCAGAAATACCCCCAATTTGATAAAAACTCCAAGCCCAATCACTGAGGTATACACCTGAAACTAATGTAATAATGTATGTCAACTGTAATTGAAAATAAAAAATGATAAAAAACAAACAAACCCATGCACAATGAATAGGAAGAAAACTACACCAACTCACATCATAATCCAATTGCTTGAAACTAGCGATAAAGAAAAAAATCTTTAAAGCAGCCAGAAAACAAAAGGTACATTCAGAGGAACTAAGATAAGGATGACAACAGATTTATTACCACTAATGATACAGTCACAAAATCAGTGGCATAACATATTTAAAGTACTAAAAGAAAAAGAGAAACTTTCAACCTAGGAAAATGGAAACTCAACAAAAATATTTTCAAAAACATGAAATAAAGTCCTTTGCAGACATTCAAAACCTGAAGCAGTTCATTGAAGGTGGACCCACACTGCTAATTATGGCTCAGTAGGTAGTTTAGACAAAAGCAAAATTATGCCAGATGAAAATATGGATCTACACAAAGAACAAAGGTAGAGCAGTAGAAATAGTAACATTTAAAATATTTTCCTTATTATTTAAATCACTTAGAAAGCAAACTTTAAACCAAAATAATAATCATATAGTTGTGGTCTGAAATATATGTATAAGATATATGACAATAACAGCACTGGGGGGATAATGGAAGTCTACTATTGTAAGGTTCTTGTACTACCACTTGAAAGTAGACTGTCATAGGATGTATACTACAAACCCTAATACAGCCAGTAAAATAATAGAACAGAGAATAATATTGAATAAACCAATGAAAGAAATGAAATGTAATCATAAGAAATATTCAGTTTATACAAAGAAGGGAAAAATAAAAAGAAAACAAAGAATAATGGGACATATAAAAACAAATGACAAGATGGCAGATTTAAACCTAATCATATCAAAAATCAAATTAAATGTAAATGGTCTAAGTACTTCAGTTAATAGGGAGAGAGTGTTATATTGAGTAAAAAGCAAGACCAAACTACATGCTACCATCAAATAATGCACTTAGAATATAATGACAGAAATTATTTGAAAGTGAAAGGATGATATTATAAATATCATAAAAGCAGACAGAAAAGATAGTACCAAAGGTAAGGGTTATTTTATAATGATAAAGGGATCAACTAATCAAAAGGCTATGAAAAATCCTAAACAGTTATTACTTAATGCCACACCTTTAAATAAAGGTGAAACTAGAAATTCAAGGAGAAATAGATATTCACAGTTATAGCTGGGGATTTTGATGCCTCCTCCCCCCAATAAATGAAAAGACAAACAGTAAATCATTAATGACTAAAAGATTGAAACAACAATATCAATGAACTTAACCTAACTGATGTTTATAGAGCACTCCTGACACAGCAGGATATACATTCTTTTCAAGAGCATAGAAAACATTTTTCAAAATAGACCATATTCTGGGCCATAAAACAAGCCTTAATAAATTTAGAAGAATTCCAATGATAGAAAATACGTCATACCACAATAGGCTTAAATTAAAAATCAATAACACAAAGAACTCAAGAGCATCATGAAATAGAAAGTAAATAACACATTCCTATGAATGTTAATTAATTTTACAATTAATTACACAATTATGCAATTAATTATGTCGTCACATGACTGGCACTGTGCTAGGCACTGAGGATATGCAGGAATAGAACAGAAAGGTGTCTGTCGTCATGGAAAGTTAAGTTCTAGAGGAGTAGGCAAACAATGCATAGAAGCCATTAAGTGGTATGAAAAAAATAAAGCAGGAGAAAGACAAGGAAGGAAGGCTTGGAGGTGATAATAATATTAGATAGGCAGTGGAAAGAGACCTCTCTGGAGGTGCAGGGTGAGCTAAGAACTGAATGGCAAGAGAAAGGCAGCTTTGTAAACATCAGAGGGGAGGGAGAGCAGCAGACTTCAGGATACCTGTGCTCTAAAGTTTATTCTGAGAGAAAGACACGTGGAAGCAGAGGAGTGTGAAAGGCAGATGGCAAATCAGAAACTGGAATAACACAAAGCAGTTTTGGTGAAATTGATGGTATTATTTTATTTTACTTGTAATGACAGGTGAGGAAAACAAAGCAACGCTCCTTGAACTTGGAGCGGTGGAACCTTTAACTAAACTGCTCACCCACGAAGACAAAATTGTAAGAAGAAATGCCACTATGATATTTGGAATACTGGCTTCTAATAGTAAGTAGAGACTTTTTAAAATAAATAATCTCATGTAATGCCTTATCTTTCTTTTAAATTTAATGTTAAGGGATTTATTTCCATTTTATTTAAACTGACTTTAATGTTAATGAAAAAGTTAACTATGATGTAATAATGTTATGATTTCAAATTTTAAGGGATATTTTTAAAATATAAAACTATGTGCAAGTGCTCTCTAAGTTGGTGATATAGTATGCTCCAGTTTTACAAGTTAGGAGAGCAGTCATTGTCTTTTAAAGTTGAAATATTTTTTTTCTTGAGTTAGTATAATGTGATTTGTGTGCCTATATGTAAGTTACACTTCATATGTATTTCATAGTGAAGGAAGCTCAGAGTAAAGTTTTGGTACATTTATTTTTTTGAAGCCACAAACTATATTTTGCCAAAAATAAATGTAGACATGGATTTACTCCTTAAATCAGACCTATTACTTGCTTGAATATTTTCATATATTTAATAGGGTGGGGTAATAATATTAGTTAAAATATGCTGTTATGTCTATTAGAATATCAGTTTGACCAAAAGCATGCAAATAAAGGCAGCCCCTGACTAATGAACAGGATATGTTTTCTATTTGTAAGTCATTTTCATGCTGTGATGGTAGGTTTCTTTGTTAGCCAACAAAAGCTTTTGATTTATAATAATTATATTCTTGGTGGATATTGAATTCTAACATGAAACCTAGGCTTCTAGGAATTAACATGTCACTATCATAGTACTTAGCTAAAACTATCAGACTTTCTCCCTTTACCTCACTTTCCCTAGGCCCTGTGTGAGATAGTGGGGTCTCCTTATACTGTGGTGCCCAACAGGACTGTGACATTAGTGTCTTCAGAGACAGATATGAGCGGAGGCTGGGGAGGGAAGGGGAAAGAGCTCTGTCTGGCATCTGTGCCTTTACTACCTCAGCCGCAGAGACTGCACGAGCAGCACCTGCAGTGGCGGGAGAAACTGGATTCCACTGGGGATTTTAGTGGAAGGGGTTCTGGCAGCAGCTGCAGGAGTTCTAAATGGTGTCTGTGCTGGGGTCTGGGAGTATTTCTGGGGATGACAGCAGGATGACAGTCGAAGGGGGAGTAGGTGATCCACCAACCCAGATTATGATAACATCAGTCAACACTTACCAGGCATTGTTCTACGTGCTGTTTATGTATTAAATCATTAACGAGGCTGGTGCTATTGTTACTTTCTTCACATATGAGGCAGCTGAGGCACAGAGAAGTTAAATAAGGTAGTCATTATTCGTGTTGTGGGTCCTTCATAAATTTTTCTCAAGGGTTGCCTGTATACTAACTTTGCCATATTGAATGTGTTGTATTGAACGAATTCATACCAAAAAAGGAAAATTAAAATTTTTCTTATGTTTTACCTGTTTACACACCCCTAAACTTGAGAACCAAGGGTGCTTTGCAATACCTCTTGTGGGACTCAGTTTAAAAACAAGAATTATCCGTAAAGGATTAGGTTCCTTGCCCAAGTTCATGCAGGTGGTTGTTAGCAGAACTAAGATTAGTGTTAGAATTAGAACTTTACTCTTTGACTCATAGTTTAGTAGACTTTCTATTCACCAAATCTTTTATGATCCTTTACATTGGTGTGAATGCTGTCAGGTTCTCCTTCTAAATTATATTGGGGGAGAATGCATCTTGCTTGGAAAGGAAAATTATAATTTCTTATTTATACTTATACAGGGTATGCCCCAAAAATGTATACACACTTTAACAGCTGAAATCTCAATTTTGAAAATGAAATGTATTTTAATAAACACTGCCTTTATAATTACTCAAAGTGTGTGTATACATTTTTATGGGACTCCCAATATTTTCTAGTTTAATGTCTAGGTCCCTATGACTTTTTTCCTGCTTGCTTTGTTCTTAATTTCTATTATTCATTTTATTTTGTATTCTCATCTTCCAATATATGAGGACTGTATAATTTGTGAAGCCTTCAAAATTGATTGCAGAATTTTTCTGAGCAGATTTACAAAATGATTTCATAAGTTTCTGAAGGAGTCTGTGGCCCCAACATATTAAGAATTATTGTTACATTTGGGTACTAACTGAGATAGCCCTCTTAGATCTGCCAAATCATAGTCTGTAAGCTGGCTGGCTAGGCTGTGACCAGTGTTAGGGACAGTGCAGTCTGCAACTGCCAAGCTTATCAGTGGAAAGAGCTTTGCTCCTTTCAAGGTCTCCACTGAGTGCTTGACACTCAGGTATGCTGAATGAACTTCTAAGAGCTTTCCTTTGATTCTATGAATTGGATGAAAAATAAACAAACAAACCATTTTGGGGATTAGCTGAACTGATTTTCTGTTTGAACTATCTGTGTACATAGATAAAACATATGGCATCCTCATCTGCTTGTGAAGTTCCTTTTTTGTTAAGAGAGCCAACCCATTAACAGCTATTGCTTCACTTTTCATACATGCCCACGGAAACTTGGAACAAAATATGAGCAACTGGTCATTTGATTCATTAGCTTCATCCTCTTGACTCTCAGAAGTCCCACCCTGCTGAACTTTACCTCTTCCCAGCAGAACTGGGGACAGATTGAGCTGCGTGGCTTTAGAACACAGGGGTCATTTTTTCCTTGCATGACTGACTGGAGCAGAACCCTCCTTTCACATGGCCAAATATTGGTCTGGTTGGACCTGATAAACTCTGCTGGCCTCACCCTGAAAACTCCCTGAGATTCCATCCCCACCCCCAGCACAAAAGTGTGTGAGCACCCTGCAGGTGGCAGATAGACTTTGTATACCTGGGGACATTTGCTGAGTAGCCTCAGACCCAGCATTGGCACCAAATTTGAACCTGTATCAGTCTGATGCACACCACTTGCCCCTTCCTGGTGACTCACTGTGAACCTACCTCATGCAACTCGTGTACTACCAGAGGCTCTTTCAGTGACTGAGCCTATCAGGCAGCCAGCAGGCAGAGACAGTTGTAGGGGTGACTTAGGACTTTTGCTGACCTGCCCCTGGGCCCGGTGCTTGAAGAAGCTAGCCTTGGTGCATGGCTTGGCCCTTCCAGTGTGCACACAGGCCCAGCAGAGGCAGCCATAAATTGTGGATCGCTTGTAGCTCCAAACAGGTTGCCCAGGACCAATCACAGGCAATATCTGACATTGGTCTGCACCAGAGTCCTGCCCAAGAGAGCCAAAACCAGCACACCCAGTGGCCAGCTTCACACAACATCAGAGCAGGGTCCAATAAGCTTCACCACCAGCAAATCCAAAGGGAGATCTTAGCAGGCACACAACCCTGCTGAAGTGAATTCTGCTTCATGTGGTCAACACCTGCACAGCTGCTAACACTCTGTGGTCAAGTTCAAGCCTCACAGTCAGCCAGCCTGAGGGCCAAAGCCATGCACGAATGGGCCAAATAGCAATCAAGACTCAATTACAGCAGGAGGGCCCACATAATCCACACAAGGGACATTCCTGGAGCACCCAACTCAGGTGATCAAGGAGACTGCACCACTGGACCCCACAGGAAACCTGCTACATAAGGCCACCCCACAAAGACTGGGTATCATAGCAGATCTGTCTAATACAAAGAAACAAACACAAAGAGGCAGCCAAAATGAGGAGATGAAGAAATAGATCCCAAATGAAAGAACAAGAGAGATCTCCAGAAAAAGAGCTAGATTAAATGGAGGTAAGCAACTTATCAGATACAGAGTTTAAAGTAATGGTTATAAGGATGCTCAACAGCATGAAAAAGGGCATAGAGATCATAAAAAAGGACCAGTCAGAAATGAAGAATACAATACCTGAACTGAAGAATATACTATAAGAGCCCTGGTCAGTGTGGCACAGTTGGTTGGAGCGTCATCCCATACACAGAAGGGTGGCAGTTTCAATTCCCTGTCAGGGCATGTACTCAGGTTGCAGGTTGGAACCCCAGTCAGGAGGCAGCAAATCGATGTTTCTCTCTCACACTGATGTATCTCTCTTTCTTTCCCTTCCTCTCTAAAATCAATAAAAAACATCCTTGGGTGAGGATTTTTTTTGAAAATGAGGATAGGCCCGGCCGGGCATGGCTCAGCGGTTGAGCGTCGACCTAGGATCCAGGCGATGGGGGTTTGATTCCCAGTCAGGGCACATGCCCGGGTTGCGGGCTCAATCAGTGACTCATCATTGATGTTTCTATCTCTCTCTTCCTCTCCTTTCCTCTCTCTGAAATCAATAAAGATATATTTAAAAAAAAAAACTTAATAAAAATGATGATAGTTTAAGGGACCTTTGGGACAACATGAAGCATAACAACATCTGCATCATAGTGGTACCAGAAGGAGAAGAGAGAGAAAGCAAGGAATTGAGAATCTGTTTAAAAAATAATGACCCAAAACTTCCCTAACTTGGTGAAGGAAAAATACACACAAGTCCAGGAAGCACAGAAAGTCCCAAACAAGATGAACCTAAAGAGCCCTACACCAAGACACATTATAATTAAAATGACAAAGGTTAAAGACAAAGGGAGAATCTTAAAAACTGCAAGAGAAAGACAGTTCTTATAAGGGAGCTCCCATAAAACTGTCAACTGATTTCTCAACAGAAACCAAAAGGGATTGGCAAGACCTATTCAAAGTTATGGGAAGCAAAAACCTACAACGAAGACTACTTTACCCAGCAAAACTATCATTTAAAATTGAGGGAGAAATACAGAGCTTCCCAGACAAGAAAAAGCTATAGAAGCTCATTGCCACAAAAACCAGTATTACAAGAAATGTTGAAGTGCCTGCTTTAAGAAGTAGAAGAAGAAAAGGAAGAAAGAGGAACATAGTTAAAAAATAAAACACAATAAATATGTACCTATCAAGAATCATTTTGAGCATAAATGGCTTAAATGTTCCAATCAAAAGACATGGGGTAGCTGAATGGATAAGAAAGCAAGACCCATATATATACTGTCTACAAGAGATCTACCTCAGAATGAAAGCTATACACATCCTAAAAGTAAATGGATGGAAAAAGAT